AGGGAATTGCCTGAGCCCGCGGGTTCGAGACCCGCCTGGGCAACTTGGCGAGACCTCATCTCTACAATAAATCAAAAATTAGCCGGGTGTGGTACCGTGCGCCTGTAGTTCCAGCTACTCGGATGGCTGAGGCGGAAGGATCGCCGGAGCCCAGCAGGTCAAGGCTGCGGTGGCTGGGAGCGGCCACTGCCCTCCAGTCTGGGCAACAGAGTGAGACTCTAACTCAAAAAAAAAAAAGAGATCTGTTCTCCGGTCTAGATTCAGCCCCTCCAAGCTCCTGTCACGACGCGTTCATCAGCATTGCTGTTGGTCCTATGAGGCCTTCTGAGACTATTTGGCCCAACATCAGCCCCGGGTGCAAATAGGTTTATTCAGGGTCATCCAGGGAACCAGAGGCCCCAGAGCTCCACCCTGGGCCTTAGGCATCTGGCTGGAGGGCCACGGGACTCAGGCCAACTACTGGAAAGGCACGGAGGTGGAAGGAAATCACAGCTAGAACTCCCTGCATAAGGCTAACGTGTGTGGCGATGCCCCCAGCAAGTGAGGCCTTGAATGCCAAGTTGCTCACAGACCCACCCAGTGGCCACTTGGCTTGGGCGTGGCAGGGAGAGGGACCAAAGGGCAGCTGGGTGGACATGGAGCTAGCTGGGCGTGTCCGGGCCTCTCCCTGTCATCTCCAGGCTCCCTTGTCAGTGCTTCCTCCTGACAGGGCTGAGGACGCACTCCCTTGGCCCACGGCCGGGCCGGGACAGGAGCATGAAAGGCCTTCGCTGGCGTTACACTCGGCTGGTAAGGGGCCTGGCTGCCCATCAAGTCAGGGAGGGCAGGGGCGGGGGCCCAGGCTAGGAGGCAGGCAGGGACTTGCCCACTCAAGTTCCTTTCCAGCTGACCTCAGGTCTGGAGCAAGGAGTGACGCAGGAACCCGGGCCCCGGGAGACAACCTGCTGTCTCTGTGCCTTCCTCCCTGGAGTGGGGGCCAAATGGCGCTCTGTGTTGAACCCCACACAGCTCGGCCTTCCTCAGGCCTGAGCCTGGGCACAGAGGGGGGCGGGAGGGGATCCTGGGCAGCCCTCGGCCCCCAGCAGGTCCCTCCTTCCTGCGAAGGGCCCGAAGTCATTGTGCACAGACACACAAACACACACACACACACACACACACACACACACACACACACACCCTAACACTCTGTCACAGAGGGAGGCTCACCTGAATGTGTGACAGACACCTCAGCGCACATGTCCTCTGACACATGGGTGCTTACACGGTCCCGACCCACACACACTTACACTCAATACTGTCTCATGCTGATTTGGAAACACAATTTTATTTTAAGCCAACATGCAATGTACATAGACACGTTTTACATGGACATGCGTGTGCAATCTCACATGTGACTACATGCATCATTTCACTGGCTCACAGGTGAGGCTCTGGGTTCATTTTCTTTTGAGTTGGAGTCTCACTCTGTCACCCAGGCTGGAGTGCAGCGGCACACTCAGCACCACCCCAGCATCAACCTGCTGGGCTCCGGCGATCCTTCTGCCTCAACCTTCCAAGTAGCCAGAATTACAGGCACGCACTACCATGCCCAGCTAATTTTTGTTTTATTGTAGAGACAAGATCTCACCAAGTTGACCAGGCTAGTCTTGAACCCATGGGCTCAGGCAATCCACTCGCCTCGGCCTCCCAAAGTGCTGGGATTACAGGCTGAGCCACAGGCCGCACCTCTGGGTGTCATTTATTTCCTTTGTAAAATGTTGATAAGAAGCACATTCTGGTCAGGCTCAGTGGCTCATGCCCATAATCCCAGCACGTAGGGAGGCCGAAGTGAGAGGATCGCTTGAGCCCAGGAGCTCAAGACCAGCCTGGGCAGCATAGCGAGACCTCATCTCTATTCCAATGTATAAAAAATTAAATAAATATTTTTTTACTTATTTTTATTTTTTAATTTTAATTTTTTTTTTTTTTTTGAGTTGGAGTTTCACTCTGTCGCCCAGACTGGAGTGCAGTGGCCGCTCCCGGCCACCGCAGCCTCGACCTGCTGGACACCGGCGATCCTTCCGCCTCAGCCTTCCAAGTAGCCGGAATTACAGGAACACGCTACCACGCCCGGCTGATTTTTTGTTTATTGTAGAGATGAGGTCTCGCTGCCCAGGCAGGTCTCGAACCCGCGAGCTCAGGCAATCCACTCACCTCAGCCTCCCAAAGGCGCAGGATTACAGGCTGAGCCACTGAGCCCGGCTAATAAATACTTTTTTTTAAAGGTCAGGCGTGGTGGCTCATGCCTGTAATTCCAGCACTTGGGAGGTTAAGACGAGAGGATTGCTTGAGCCCAGGGGTTCAAGACCAGCCTGGGCAACTTGGGGAGATCTTGTCTATACAATAAATCAAGAAAAATAAGCCAGGCGTGGTGGTACGCGCCTGTAATTCCAGCTACTTGGAAGGCTGAGGTGGAAGGATCACTTGAGCCTAGCAGGTCGATGCTGGGGTGGTGTTCAGTGTGCCACTGCACTCCAGACTGGGCCACCCTGTGAGACTCCAACTCAAAGGAAAAAAAGCACATTCTTCCTGAAATTCTTGGGAAGTTTCAAAAAGACCATGCACAGCCAACACTACACATGGCGAGGCCAGGGAGGGGTGGTGTCCGTCTGCCCCAGTCACTGTGGTGACTCCCTGCATGGCCACACAGAGCACGCAGGGCTAGGCCGCCGCTTGCCTTCTTCCTGGAGCTAAACTTGGAACTTGGTCCCCGGCACCCACTTGGGTCAGAGCCAACAAGCTTTCCAAAGGCATCAGAAGAGGAAGACACAGAGGCAGAGCAGAGAGGCAGGCGGGCAGGCCACCGGCCCAGCCACACTGCATGGTGGGGTGTGCGGGGGGTGCGCTCTGGCTGGGGCCCAGGGGAAAAGCGGCCGGAGGCTGTGCGGCATCCCATGTGGGGTGTCGAGGCAGCCCCAAGAGGCTCTCGGCTCAGGACGCCAGGGAGCCCGGGGCCTCCCATCTCCCAGCCCGCCGACCTGTGTGTCTTCACAGCCCAGCCAGGTGGAGGATGCCCTGTCCGGGGAGGAGGGCGAGGAAGAGGAGGGGAAGGAAGAGGCAGCCCCAGCCCCGACTCCTGAAGACCCCACGGCGCCCCAGCTGACGGAGGCCAGCCAGGTGCTGGGGGCCTCGGAGATCAGGCAGGTCCGGTGTTGCCTGTGGGTGGAGGACTTTAGCCCTGAACTAAGGGACCCTCTCCTGTCCTACGCCAGCCACGCCCAGGGGCTCCAGGCTCACGCCAGCTGTGTCCCCAGCTTCCCTTTCCTTTCTTGTAACATGACCCAGTGGCCTGGCACCTCCCACTTCATCACTGGGCCAGGAGGTCGAGGGCACAATGGAAACAGCCCTCGAAGCCCACGGCTGGGGTGGGTGGAGGGACAGCGGGGGCTTCAAGAGGAGGGGCTTGGTGTTGCATCATTCCCTGGACTCAGGGTTCGAGGTGACGGAGGGGAGAGTCCTACGAGAGACCCAACCCGGGTTTGAATCCTGGCTCTGCTGCCCGCGCCCCACGTGGGCTCTGGGCAAGTCACTCTGCTTCCCTGAGCCTCCGTTTCCTCATCTGTGAAGTGGCAACAGCAGCCCCTTCCTCCAAGGGCTGTTGCTATGAGCCTGCACGCCCTGGAAGCAGCAGGCTCCTCTGTGGTGTGGATGGGTGGAGGCTGCTCAGCCAGGCCCTTCCGGGTCCCTGAGGAAACAGTGGAGGAGGGCGGGCAGGCCCCCACTCACCTCCAGCCCTGTCCCCAGCTCAGCGGCCACCTCCCCCCGAGAGTCACTGGACACCCCTGGAGTCTGGTCTTCTGCACCTCGAGGGACGGCTTCAGCCTGCGGCGCCTGTACCGGCAGATGGAGGGTCACAGCGGGCCGGTGCTGCTGGCCCTGAGGGACCAGGACGGGCAGGTGAGCAGGCCGCGGCCGGGCCCCACCTGGGGCTCTGGGGTCCAGCCAGGCACCGGGGGCCCAGCCCGAGGGCAGCCCAGGGGCCAGCAGGTAGAGTGACGAACTGAGGCACTCATGGGGCGCTGACCATGGCCCGAGACCCTCCCACTCAGCCGGCCTCCGTTTCAGTGCGCGCGCGTGTATGCAGTGCTGTTGGCCTGCTGGGCTAGACGTGGACTAGAGCAGAATGGACCCAGGAACAGCCCCAGCCTCTTGGAGCCAATAGTGTCATGGGGGCAGGGGTCAGACATCCAGCAAAGAGTTATTTGACCTTCAACATAAAACTGCACCTTTAGCCGGGCTCGGTGGCTCAGCCTGTAATCCTGCACCTTTGGGAGGCTGAGGTGAGTGGATTGCCTGAGCCCGCGGGTTCGAGACCCGCCCGGGCAACTTAGTGCAACCTCATCTCTACAATAAATCAAAAAATTAGCCGGGCGTGGTAGCGCGTGCCTATAGTTCCAGCTACTTGGATGGCTGAGGCAGAAGGATCACTGGAGCCTAGTCCGTTGAGGCTGTGGTGGCCAGGAGCGGCCACTGCACTCCAGTCTGGGCAACGGAGTGAGACTCCAACTCAAAAAAAAAATTTCTTAGGTGAGATAATGGTAGTGTGGTCATAGAGGAGGAAGTCCCCATTCTTGAGAGCTAAGCTGTTTGGGGTGAAAGGTCATAAGATCTGCAACTTACTTTCAAAAGGACTAGAAAAATATACAAAGAGAGAAAGCAAGTATGGCAGACCCATGTGCAACTGCCCAGTCTCCGCAGAGAGTGTCTCTGCTGCACTTGAAATCCCCAGAGACAGCCGGGCTCAGTGGCTCAGCCTGTAATCCTGTGCTTTGGGAGGCTGAGGTGAGTGGATTGCCTGAGCCCGCGGGTTCGAGACCCACCTGGGCAACTTGGCGAGCCCTCGTCTCTACAATAAATCAAAAAATCAGCCGAGCGTGGTAGCGCGCGCCTGTAGTTCCAGCTACTCGGAAGGCTGAGGCGGAAGGATCGCCGAGCCCAGCGGGTCGAGGCTGCGGTGGCCGGGAGCAGCCACTGCATTCCAGTCTGGGCGACAGAGTGAGACTCCAACTCAAAAAAACCCAAAGAAATCTGCAGAGTGAGGAGAAAGCAGCGCACAAAACCACGTGTCACCCGGGACAGCAGTTGTGGCGTGTGCAAGCTGACACTCGTGGGTGCTGGGGAAGGGCACCAGACCCTGAAGAGTTTCCTGGGAGGGAGGAGGAGGCTTAAGGGCGGCTTTATTTTTGTTCTGCTTGTTTATAACTTCTGATTTTTCAAGAAGGACTGCTTTATAAAATAAACATTTTAAGAAGCAGCAGGAGGCTGCCCGGAGGAGGAAGCCCCTGGAGCCCCTCCGTGGGGAGCGTTGGGGGAGGGCGCCCGGAGGTCCCTGCTGACACGGAGCCCGCCCCAGCTCCGCCAGCATCCCGAGGCCCACGGGATTAGCCACACGACCAAGCTGGGGATGGGGCGTCAGAGGACTGCCAGCGCCCCTCCACTGCAAACTGCAAGTTCTTCCGTTTCCCAGATGTTCGGCGCCTTCTCCTCCTCAGCCATCCAGCCCAGCAAAGGCTTCTACGGGACCGGCGAGACGTTCCTCTTCACCTTCTCCCCACAGCTGAAGGTGATGTTCCCAGCATCCCACGGGGGAGTGGGGCCTGTGGCAGGACAAAGCTCCCAGGGGCCCAGCGGGCGCTCCACCCCGCATCGGGCTGCCTGGTGTCCCGCCGTCTTCCCCCGGGGCGCGCGGCAGGCGG